CACTGAGAGGAATATGAGGCATAAGCATTTCAAAGAATAAATCTTCACGCCTTTAAACAAGACATTGTTTATGAATAGTGGATTCAAGGGTGATACAATGACAGACATATTGAAGAACTAATTAGATTTAGATTGTTTACTTCAGTCAACCACTGATTCTAGTGTGTGTAAACGATAAATCGCCACTCCGAGTCACGTTCATTGGTGTTTATCAATTCTGCAGCTCCTGTAAAACTGGATACAAAGGCCAAACACCGCATGTTCTGTCTAAACGTATCTCCAAACACTATCCTGTATAGCTATCTGAAGGACAGTGTAAAGCGATCAATAGCTCGGTTCTTGAGCCTTTGGATATATCCAGTAACAATGCTCAGCGATAGTGTTCCATCATAGCCATTTGCAAAGTGAAACCAAACATTTCAAAAAGAGTACACATTTACCACCTGAACACAGTAGAGGCTTTGGCAGTCAAACGTTACAAACCTGATCTTTATGCTTCAAAGAGATACACTCAACCCCTAACTTTTGCGTTGGTTGTAATGTTCCTGAGATATCTTACTCAATTCTTGGTTTATGGTTTAATTTATTGTAATCCTATGAGCCATTTTTGATGATCCTGAGTTGACCTTCTAACCATTGTCATCTTGTGACTTTATTGGCCATTTTTGGTTACTTTATATTGACTCATTAGCTACTGATGGATATATATTTTGTTATATCTATGATTGGTCGCAAGGAAGCTTTTCTCCTCCAAATTATCTTTTGTCAAGTAAATATTAAAAACCGTTTTGTTCACATGTGGTCGGTGTTAATTAAAGAAGCGGAAATATTCCACAGGTTAAAAAAATATATTCCATATTTGCTCAGAAAAGGCTTTTGGAAATCAGGTTTACGTGATTTTATCACTGAGTTGTATGGTTGCATGATCAGAATATATGGATTATAAAATCGTTATATTGACTCCTTAGATTGTGTATAGTGATGGTAGATCATTCATAAAATGATTTCATATACAAACGCAGATCACATTTTATAGTACTATTGTTCAGTAGCACCGAGGATGAAACATCCCACAAACAACTTATGTCTGTTTAACAGGATCTCAGTTGTGGATCGATAGCCTAAACCACAGTCATCAATAGTTTAGGAAAGCAAATAGTTTAGTTTGAATTTTAGCAGTGTCATCAAAATGCTGGAATGCAGATGACAAAAACAGCTGATGAAACCAAACTGGATTTTAATGGCAGTCTTTGGGAAGAACACAAAAAGGATTGGTTTCTGTCCCACATTTTGATTAATAATTTTTATCTCTCTGTCGAATTTTCATCATTAATTTGAACATTACAGAAAGTGATTTCAACCAAGAATTCAATCATTTTTTCATAATACAGTTAATTACTATGACTTCATGACATTTTCATGGGCGACATTTGTAATGTCTTCATAGTTATAGTTCATTAAACCCTTATACAACTGAACTGTAATACATGTCACGCAATCATTCTTTTCACTGTATAAATTTCGGACTTAAAATTTCCAGAACCTATAGGTTTAGGATCCTTATATCCTTTTTCTCTTCTTCATTGGTCTTTTGTCTCTCAGTGCAAAACAATTTAAAATCATGTGAATACTTGGAAGACAATTTCACGATTCATTTTTTAGAAATTATTACATAGTAGTTTTAGGCTTTGCTTTATTGCCTTCAATTCAAACTGAGAACCATATCTTGAAATTTTAAATACTGGTCACCGTGATACTCCATTTTTAACACTGAAGTGCATAAAAACGATTCTTATGGTAGTTGATGCTTACTGCTAGGGTATTTTAGCTGTTTATTGCTCCCAAGTGTTCCATCGAACTTCAACTGATATCAAACAGTTTCACTAACATAAGTTTAAGACTTGCGAACTATCCTAAAACGTAATACCATATTAGATTTATTACTTATTTAGCAATACTGTATCATTGTTTGCCTTATCAACTAGACAAATCGAATGTGAGATGTCAGACAGTGATGAAAACCTATGTTGAAATCTAACGTTATCTGTCAATAAATCGCCTCTTCTTATAGAGTAGTCAGAAACATTAGGTACATCGATAACATGTAGGCAATTTCTCTCTGGTCAGGAAGGCAGTAACAGGGCTTTCTACCGATATTCTCCGCCTTGCCAACACCTATGGAAGTACATTGCGATGCTGAGCCATTTATTCTGGTGGTCACACTGAAAAATAATCGATAGAATTCGATCAGCATGTAAGACTAGACAACATGGAGTTGGTTACCGTCCAGTGATCAATCTATGCATCTAATTCAATCTTGTAGGACGTTATTTACTGCCTGAATAGCTTAGTGTTAACTTCTTTGGCTGCAGCCCTAAGTGGCGCGGGTTCAAATCATAGGTGGGACATCAGTTCTTTAGAGGTTGTAGATGCACCCTGCTAAGTACCAACAAGCATGAAATCTTGGTCCATGGCTTGCAACCGACTGCCGCCATACAACTAAGGTAACAATCTTCTTTACAGCCAACATGCCGCTAAAAAATGTTTTCACGACTATTTTATGTTCATTTATAACAGTTTGAAGTGATCTAAATGTGTTTAGCTCAGTTGAAAATTTAACAGCTTACGTTGAACTGCATTTTTCATTACAAACCAAAACTGTAGAATGATCTGCATTCAGAAACAACGAATTATCTGCTTATTTATAGTGGGGTGGAATTTTTCAGCTAAAGTTCATTCTGTTGGTAACTTTTTTCGTTAAAACATTCTTATTATACAAGAATCTAATCCTCTTATTTTACTTTTTCCTACTGCCTACTTTCTCAAGACCAAATAAGATAATCGGCTGTGAAAGAAAACAATGATAAGAGATGATAAACAACCGGAATTCCGTTAGCAGAATCAACAGTTGTTATTCATTCTTAGTTCTAATGACCATAAAACTTGGTCATCTGTAAATACGTTTACAAAAATAATTTTTTTTAAATCAATGGAAACTTTGCTGTTAAATAATGTTTGACTTTCTTAATATGTTATATGTACTGGTTAAAGATAGTCACAAATCAGCAAAGAAGGTGATTGTTTACTTCTTTAAATAACATGCGCTCAGTATATCAATTTTGATGTAAATAGTAGAAATACTGATGAAGCGGGATTTTCGAGAAATAAAGAAGCAATTTCCGACAGCTGAATAACGTCCATAAAATAATTTGGATTGATTTGCTAGTTATTAGGTGAAATGTATAAAAAGCGAGCTATTCAATAATATTTATACAATAATTATTAGATTCTTAAGCTTTTATGATTCTTTCCAAGGTGAAATTCATTTATCTTATAATAGTAATGCATGCTTATGTCAAAGAGTAAATGTGTGTATAAATGGTTTGTTGAGATTTTGAAAAATGGAATAGGAAATAAATTCCCTTCACTCCAAATTTCGGATACTTCTTCCAACGCCAACATGAATTTCTGCCAGTTATAAAGTTGTAGCAATTATTATAGAACATAATTATACACTTAGAAAAGACCCTATTGAGAATTTGGATTCCATGTTATAAGATTTTGAAAACTTAAGGAAAGAATTTGCGAAATGTTGCGAACTAAATTAACAGGGATGAAATATACTTCAAATTTTATACCGATAGTATTTCACTAACCACTCACCTCCGAAAAACTACTGAAACATTCCTTACGGTTTCTCTCTGAATTAAGCCTCCTAAACTCATCAATTTCGACACAAAAAGGTATTATTTCTACGTTTCTACTATATCCTACTTCATTACCAAAATAATAAGACATTATGACATTTTCCACTTCTAACTTATAGAAGTTGCATAGTTCTAACCATCAGGAGTTTCTAGTTGCATAGTGACCAGTTTTGTTCAACTGTTCCACGCTTTTGAACTGGATAATAAACTTTTCTTGATTTCAGCTGTTTACTCATTCCGTTGAAACTGTTGACTGTTTTAAACCAAAAGTTCGATGAATTAGCTTCAGTTTTTAGTTCTCCAACTTTTTAAGAAGGAAATTTTGTGTTTTCAACTAGTTATTCAAAATGGGTGAATATTAAAAACATTTGTGCCAGGGTTTTATAAAACACTCACCTAATTTAATTTTGTAGAACCTATAAAGCATCTGTTATATTACGCAATGTATATTGTGCTGATTGTATAAATATCTTGAGAACTACGATTTCAGCTTTTTAAGACCAAAGTCTGAAATCGATATTCGACATGTTTGTAATTTAGATTGAGTGCCATCTCTTAACTAGAAAATGTATGTTTTATCGAACTTTATTATATTCAACTAGGAGTTGCAACAGTGTATTTCCATGAACTTGTTATACATAACGAAGTATACCCTTCGGTGTATTTAGACATACATTTCTCGACCTGTGGCATTCATGCTTTGTGGTAGGTTAGAAGAATTAAAAAAATTGAAAAATGATTTTGACATGTCAATTCTATTCATCTACAGCTCATATAACTTCTCCCAATTATCTGCTTGAGTGCACTGCTTTTTGACTATTTATCTGACTTATAAGTTCTAACTTTATCGTCTAATATCCTATAAATGAGAATGGTTTAATTTTAACTTCATGTGTCATTTCTTTACATCAGATGAGGTTATCTGATCAAATCTATGTTGAGGAATCTAATCGATTACTAAATAATTTTAATTGCTCAGGCTGAACAGAAGATCGCCTAATGGATGGCCTACGTTCACAAAACATTTGATGTATTATTTGACAATAGATTTTGATGTCAATAAAACTTCGTATACCCTGCTGTAGAAGCTCTAGTCTACCCAGAGGAACCTTCAGAAATGTTTTTCACCAACTTTCTAAACATGCTGGTATTATATTAAAGTGTATAATATTTTTATAATTGTACTTATTTTACATAAAATGTAACTTTATTCTTTTACGCAGATGTAATATAATTACTTGTATTTCATACATTAACTATATGTCTTTTTTATTTAAAAACTTTTATCTCAAGATATACAAAAGGAAGTAATACTCTTCAAATCCTTAGAGATTATGCCAATTTGGTTAATAAACATTCCAGCACTATATGGAAGTACAGATCAACAACAATATAACCAAGAACAAAAATGGCGGCAAAAACATCAGTATGAAAGACAAGCAAACAATTCCAAAAATAGTAGATATGATCAAGGCAAAAGCTGTAACCATTCCAGTCAGCCTGGAACAAAAGAAGAAAAAGAGGGAATTACTTCTTATCACTCAACAAATGTATCCAAAGAAACATTTCTGAATAACATTCATCAGACTGTTGAAAGTTTATCACATTTAAGTTATCCTACGGTTAAGCCACATAACAATATTCCTCAAACTAATTATTATCAAAATATTTCATCTTATTATAAACCAGTAAATGAAGAATCAAAAATTTCTCAAGCTCTTAATGGGCATGAAGTTCACAGTGATTGTTATGTCAATATGGATGGTAGACAAGAAATCCCATGTATACTAAATCCTTATCCACTCTACAAAATTATTAAAAAATTCCCTTATGTAGATGTATATAAATTTTATCATAATTCTTATAAAAATTTATTTCAGCCTCTTAGTGAGAAACAAAACACTGTCAAAATGATATTATATTATGAAACTGGACAATATGCCTACCTTCCATGTCATACACTAGGCGCCAAAGATAGTGAGGTGAGTCATCTTTTTATGTATTCATCGTAATCTCCTACATTTAACTAAGATGATTGCTAAATGTTGTAGCGGTAGTAGTACAAAATATGACTATTCAGTCACCGATTATCACTACATAACATGATATGTTTCTTTTTTTACACTGAATTATAAGTTTGCCGATTTCAATTTTTCGTCGTTCATTTGATCACTGCTTAGACAGATGAGGTTTGACATCTGTATCCGTAGCACTGTGTGACATTGATCCAAGTAACTCAGAAAGAATCAGTTTCTTTGAAGTTGAAGATAAGCACCAATGAGCACTGTAATTTCATTGAATTGAACAATAGATACAGTAAAGGTGTATCTTTTAGCTAGCCGACCAAGATAAAAAAAGATAAAAGGACCAAAGAAATTGGTCACAAATGATTGTTGAATACAACTAAAGTGTGTCGACTAACACAGTTCATAATATTCAGTGGGATAAAGTTTTTGTATCATACTAGGACAGAATTATAGGATTCTACTTAAAACCACAAAGTGTTTACAAATGAACAAGAAGAAAGACGTTATTCACTGTCTAAAGGTTGTAACAGATTCAGCATGATTTTAAGAGGATTACAGTGTTACAATATATGGGAATGGTTTCCTCTCTTTGACTTCATTCCTTTTGCCTTAATTTAATTATGCTTTTGGAGAACTCTCCTTTGAGATACCTTAAGTACTAGTCGTAGAAATAAAAGTGAATCAAGAAGACATCTCACTGTGCTAATTTTCTGCATAAATTCATTCTTACAGCTGACACAAAACGTGACAGAGTGATTTGTTAAAAATCACTAATGTCAGTTGTCGAAACAACAAGTTTTGTTAAGATTAATCACTTCACGGATTAGGTGCGATATAGACAGAAGGTATGGCTGCCGATCCTTACACTAGTTAAAAATCTCATTTTCCTACGCCTCGTTTTAGTGAGATATGATGTTTTTAGCAATGATAATTAATGCACTTACATACATTTGTGTTCTTCAGAGCAATAAACGCTCTACGTTTCATATGCGTATTGTTCATGAATATTTGAGCACATGATCCTTTTATTACTAATAGGGTTGTGAAGCCATCAGACAACTTCAGTTTAACTAACACTTAAATATGACTAGGTATATACATGTAATACGAATGTTTCGAAAATTCGTAAAAGTGAGTGTACATATCGATTTGTTTATAAGCAAGCTGATGTCAAAGAAAATACTGATACACGTTTTGCACTCATATATCTAAGTTATATTTTGGTTGTCATGGGTTCAATGTTAGTTGTGAATAGCAAACCAGTCACTAGCCAATTTTAAGTTTCAGCATTTTGGATAGTAATCATTTTAAAACAATCTTGTTAAATAAGAAAAAGTAGCCATAAAATTATTTCAATAACTTCACCAAATATCGCTATTGTGTGATAAATATATTAAGCAGGCCGATATGTTGACTTAGATAAAAAGCAGTCATTACTTCAAAAATAAGATTAAATAGGTTCCGTGTAAGACAACGTTGTAAATGTTATACTTACTTGTGATGTCATCAAAAACTGATACTATAGGGAGAATCATTTCAAAATACAACAATGAAAGGGCAGTTCAAAACAGTAGGTTATGATATCGAATTAAACGGAAGGATATTCTTCCCATTAAATTCTGATGACTCTATTATCTTACATCTGTATACACATTCCCCATATATCGGAAGCTATAGCAATAAGATCAGGTGAGCCTGAACCTTGTATCCAAAAGGAACACGTTCAAGCCATACCCCCTCCTTGGCCTATCACTGAATAAATGGTATTCCCCAAATTTTTTGTTCCATTCTTACACTTTATTTTTATTTTATATTCTCCCCGCGCTCTACATTCCTTCATTCTAAAACAAAACCATTAGTATCGCTCTGACTATTTGAGATAGCAGTGATTTCACTGATTGTATTACTTCTGGGGATGATTAAAGCTGCAATGAAAATCTAGACAACAGCGGGACCCGAAACGAAGAACACCGGGATAACAGCCCGATGATCTACCTAATAGTCTAGACTTAGAAACCAATCGTAGTCCAAATTTTCACTTCAATTCTATTCATCACCTTCCTTCAAAAATCATTACTATCACCGCTCTTTTTCTAAACAGACTTTACTTCGTCTCACAATCATAAACCTTTAAAACTCTTCTTAAAATATATTTTCCTCACGATATTACCACTCTTATTAACCTAGTCATTTCACATATTAACAATCTTATGACGAAATATTCACTACAATCCTGCCCTTACGTAATTTATACCATTATCTCAGACACTCAAAGCAATACAACCTTCAACTTCATGATTACTTTACCCTCAACATACGTCTGATAACCAATCCAGTGATAAAGTTTACACTACAATTACTACCACAAATTACATACATATATAAATTACACTACCACTGAAAAACGCGGAAAATATAATTTTAAGTATGATTTCATAACCATTCTAAAATGCATTCTCTCCAAACGTCTGGCTGTGAGTATTCTTGCGAAGTTGATTTCATAGCTGTAGAACCTGATGAGGAGATACTGAAAAGAATATCCCTCCACTTCTCAAATGATGGAGAATATTTGTAGCTCACTCGGATGGTCATGGTTACATTCCGTTCTCTGAGCTAAGTTGTTCAGTTGTGGATCTTTCATCCTCTTGCTAGACAACATCATCAACACTAACTTCATTCTGAAGTGGGATGTCAATGTCTCTCAATGAGTAACAGCTCACTTCAGAATGAAGTTAGTGCTGATGATGTCGACGGGCAAGACGATGAAACATCCACGACTAAACAACTCAACTCAGAGAACACTGTACAATCAAGAATATGCTTTAATTTCACTTACAACATTATATGCAACACCATTTCGTGAGGAAGGGATGGAAACAAATTTCGGAATTCCACTTCATCACCATTGTCAGCTCTCAGGAAAAGACCACATAGAATCGATCCCTCTCCAGTTACCGATTAGAGTAAGAGGAAAACGAACACCTAAATGTAACTCATTTCATAAATAAGGAGTAAGAAATGTTTAGTTTATCATTTACACCTCAGCAGATCTGTTTTAATATCTCCATCTCATCCTCTCAAATCCCAAGAAAACACTCCTTCCAACAAATACTAGGGAAAGGACAAAATGCCTGGTGGTTATAATTCCACTGGAGAAGAATCGGACTTTCTGTGGAACTATGAATGGCACTCATCCAACAGCAACCTTTATAAGCTACAAATTATTGTTAACAGTGTTAACATTTCAATGAAGTTTGTTTCTAATATTTAGTAGGCAGAGTGAGGATCAATGTCGAAATTGAAGAAAAATCATTCCACTGATGTTTCGTGGGAGATGACTACTCTACTGACATGCTTCGAATTGGATTTCTCCAAATCCTAATCAGAAACCATGGTGTATGAAGAAAACAGTTACTCAGAGATTATTTTGGATGATTGTCAGATTGTGTAACAAATTGATATAAATAGGATCATTCGGACCACTGGGTGATAATGTGCTCACCATGAGAGGTGACGGTCCAGGAACACATCAATGGCAGGGTCTTAGGTATACTCTACTGACTGGTCTCACACTGGGATGGAACAGCTGGTTTCTGCTTCACTTTCAACTTTCACTAACCCTCCAACGGATGTCACTCGGTGATAAATACTACCTTGACATACGAAAATCTCCACAATCAGCCCTCTCGACGACGATCTGTTCTGCTCTATCATGCTTCATTCAGTCAGACTGCTCACGATTATTCATCAGAATTTCTCATCTTGTGTGCCACGTTTAACCCTCAGCAGTGGGAATATTCCAAGTGAATTTGCAGAATATCGGTTTCTTTTCAAAACTAACATTAGAAGTGACGTCAAATAGAGATTCATCGTCACAGTTTCTGAGTATTCGCCATTCAGAAACCTAAGCAATGTAAGACACTTCCTAATCCTATATGCATATATATATAACACAATTTGTTTCCATGTATATATTGGTTTGGAATACTTCTCATACTGAACAACGATATTACTTCATTAAAGTATCCAGGTGCTATCTGAATATTGTGAGACAAGACTAAGCTTTCAATAGAACAAACGTCACAAGAGCCAGTTGTTGAATGCCTTGAAAAGAATACAAATCTTACTCTATCCAGACCACATTGTTATGCAAATTCTTTATGCATGATTAAATTGTATCCGTGTCATCAGCCTGATACCTGATATAATGATCAGCCGAAATTGTCATTTCCATGTAAACTGTGATGATAAGATAATCACCACAAAAATTGCTGATGAGCATTCGCACAAACTTTATTCAGTAATTTCTTCTGGAAAGACGGTAATGTATAACCAGCACAACCTAATTATAATTCAACTTCAGTGAACAAACCTTACAAAATACACCCAATCACTTTCTTCTTAGTTCGTTTGAAAAGTGAATTCGATAACAACCGTTATGTGCTACTTACTCTCATGAAGAGGTGATGGTAACGACTAATACGAAGGTGGTAGTGATAACTGTCTGAATGATAGGAATAATGGGAACAACATGGTACTGCAAACACTTAGACAATCAATGTCGGTCAAAACTCAGGACGAAGTGTGTATGTAGTCAAAGTCTAAGGTGATGAACATGCATCAGAAAGGGGTGAAGAAAGGGTGGGAGGAAGAAAATTGAACCGATCTTCAATGTCATTTACTCAGCTTCCTCCGCACATTGACAGACAAAGGTTTCACAAACGTTTTTCGCACACGAAGACTTAGGTTATTTTCTCTAATTCCTATAGCCTCAGCTATATATAATATGTGAGCATGAATTCCATTCTAAGATTTTCTGGAGTGTGATAGATGATTTCGAATGCCGTCGTCTTATCTTTTCGACCGAATGCGACATTATTGAACCTCGTATTTACTTCACTTTTCCCTGTCCTAGCTACTGAAATAAGTGCTCAGCAACGCGTTTGTTAAGCTAC